GTTAGGAGGCTGTACCCATCCCTCAAGCATATACTGCAGTGTTATAATACATTGCCCTGTTTCTGTATATCTCCTCACAGCTGCGTCATGAGCACCGTGAAGGCAGGAACCATACCTGTAAAGTCATCTCCTTAGTCTGGCAAAGGGTGTGTGCTTTCTGAATGTTGTTGAATGGATACTGAGCGCATGGACAGTGTTTCTGATCTCAGTTGAGATCAGAAGCACCATGGGGGCATGGCCGGGGCTAGAGGGGTGGATGTGTCAAGGCCTTAACCCTAGGGGATGTAGAAGGAGGGGAAAGGGGAGACAACGGGTGACCCCTGAGTTTCTGGCTTAAGCAGTGAAGGGGCCAGCTATGTCATTTACTTTGAGGGGCAACAACTTTGATTTGGATACGTGTGATATTTCTAGGGGTGGGGGGACAGCAAGGTGTCCAGATATCATTGGAAAAACAGATCAGTAGCTCAGAGGTATGGTCTGAGCTAGACATAGGGATTTAATAATTTAGGAATAATTATTATCTAGGTGGCAAATTACATGAATGCATATACCAGAAAATGTCTAGAGAATGACTGCATTGTTTGGCATCTATGTTGAAATAAAAAGCGATTTAATGCATTCATTCATACCCATCCTTGTGATGAAAAGAATTTGAGATGGCACTCATCAATACACTCTTTATATTTCTTTTTAGACTTTAGCTTCCAACTCCTTCATCTTTTCCCTCTAGGTAGAAATAAATACACCTGGCACCATTGAATTTTAGCCCTACGCTCTAATTTTAGTCTTGGTAACCATCTAGCCTAGTGGTTCTCAAAGTGTAATCCCCAGACCGGCAGCATCAGAATTACCTGAAGCTTGTTAAAGATGCAGATTCTTGAGTCCCTCCCCAGACCTCCTGACTTGAAACACTGGAGCCTGCAATCGGTGTTTTCACAAGGTTTCAAGGGGACTCCAATGCATGTTACTATGTGAGAACCACTAGTCCAGCCCAAGGCCATCATTTTGCAGATGAGGAACATGAGATACAGAGAAATAAAAGATGTATTTGCCTGACATCACACATCAGCCATAGCAGGATATGACCCAGACATCTGAAGGCAGACTAAGATTGAGCTACACAGCCCAACGGAGGCAGCTATCTTCATTGCAGTGGTGGTATCAAAGAAGAAATTATGTCCTCAAGGGGTTGATTCTGCAAAGCCATCTCAAGTCACTCAGCTTCTTCAGTGTCTACTGAAAGCAGGGCCCTGTGTCAATCTCAAAAGTAAGGCATGGCCACTGCTGGAAACCATGAAAACAGCATATTTTATCAAAAAAATGTCTCACCCATCGGAGGCCTTTGGTATGAGTTAGGGTCTCGTCAGGAAACAGACATTTAGTAATTTAGTTAGGGGAATTTCGGCATGCAGAATTGTGACCCAGTGAGGCACGGTTCACTACTCAAGCCACGGTGCTCGTGGCTGCTGACTGGTCTCCTGGGCCTTTCCTCGGCTCTTCCTTTCCTTACCATCACTCCCCATTCGTTTTCCTCCGCCCTCTCTGATCATTCTCTCATGGGTTCCTTTCCTTCACATCTCCTTTAAACCATCTAAGCAATCTCATCCACTTCCTTAATTTAATAGTTAGCATCGATGAGTAATTCTGAAAGCAGGCCTATCATCCGAGCTCCAGACCTGACCATCCCATGGGCTCTGTCTGTACAGGCAACATGAGCATAACTCATCTTCTCATATCCTCTCCCAATCTGGGAGGAACATTGTGTTAGAGGCCTCTGCCTTCCTTACCCCACATGCATTCAGCAGCATCTAACCTAGCACGTCTCTGACATCCATCTGCAACCCTCATCCTCAGGGCACATTGGACCCAGCCTAGACCATTATTTCCCAATGTCCACCTGCCCCTGTCTTGCTCTCCTCCAGTCCTGCCAATGTGGCAGGCAGAAGCAGGGGCATTCTAAAACCCAGTTCTGACCATGGTTACTTGCCCCATCCCACTTTAACCCTTTCGTTCATTCCTCATAGTTCAGATCCAGACTCTCAGGGATGACACACAAGGCCTCCAGGTCCTGGCCCCATCAGCCCTCCTATTCCATCTCCACTCTGCTGCCCACCTCTGCTCCCTCTATTCCCGCCTCAAGAACCGTGCTCAGCCTCTCAACTCTCCTGACAACTTCAAACCTAGCACCTTTTCCCTGGCTACCTGACAACCCTACTTATTTTTTAGAACTGGGTTCAAGTTTTACCATCTCTTTATGTAGTCACTTCATTAAAACAAATCAGGTGGCTCACGCCTGTAATACCAGCACTTTGGTATACCACAAGGCGGGCGGATCACAAGGTCAAGAGATCGACACCATCCTGGCCAACATGGTGAAACCCCGTCTCTACTAAAAAAATACAAAAATCAGCTGGGCATAGTGGTGCATGCCCGTAGTCCCAGCTACTTGGGAGGCTGAGACAGGAGAATCACTTGAACCCAGGAGGCAGAGGTTACAGTGAGCCAAGATTGCACCACCGCACTCCAGCCTGGTGACAGAGCGAGACTCCGTCTCAAAAAAAAAAAAAAAAAAAAATTAGCGGGGCATGGTGATGCGCACCTCTAGTCCCAGCTAGTCTGGAGGCTGAGGCAGGAGAATCTCTTGAACCCAGGAGGTGGAGGTTGCAGTGAACAGAGATCCCACCACTGCACTCCAGCCTTGCAACAGAGTGAGACTCCATCTTAAAATTTAAAAAAAAAAAAAAAAAAATCATACACACCTGCCAATTATTGAGCTCACAAGGAAGGATAATTTCAAAATATTTAACCACTGGTAAAGCATGGGCACCCACCCATCAGAACAAGTGCAGGCCCTGGGGCAGGAGCAGAGTCTTATGGTCTCTGCTATACTAGAATATTAACCTATTAGGTGCTGGACTGTAAAGAGGTATAGTGGTCCAGACAGAGGACACGCAGGGGGCTCAGGGTAGCAGCTATTCACCAAATAGGACAAAAGTATTTCAATATTTTAACCTCTTGTATGATCCATGCATGATCACTGAAGCACATAAGGCATGCCAGATGCTGTGCTAAGCGAACCCCTCTTAACACACTACCTCATTCAGTGCTCACAACTATCGCTTATCACCACCATCATCTTCATCAATTATCGACACCATTGCCATTCTAAGTGACTTATCCAAGGCCACATGGTAAGTGGTATAGTAGTCTCCTCACCAGGGTGCTGTCAGTCCTGCCCGAGAATTTTCACTGCAGCCTCTTATCCTGGTGCTGCATCTGTAGTTTAACCAACACGTTCAGTAATTTGTGTCTATTATTTGTTTAAAGGGCAGGGCAACCTGTTTCCTGAAGGTTCCCATTACTCATGGAAGCATTCCAAGGGACTTCTCCCAGGCCCTCAAAAACCTGTTCTAACCCCCTCTAGACCAACCATGGCAGAACTGGCCACTCCTTCCTCTTGGTGCAATACACCCGGCTCTGATACCTGTATTTCTTTATAACACCTACCATGTTACGTGACTGTCATACCCACTGGGCTAGTCCTGTACATTTTAATTCACTGATACTTAGCAAAATGTCTATCAGCCCAATAAATGTCTGTTGAATGAATGGACACTGTATTGAATGAATGAACAAGACTGAGCTGTATTTGGTATAAGACTCTATAACTGCCCCACCATGAGAAATATGTGAATTCCTAATATATTTATTTTCACCACTTGAACTTGTATTTATCAGACACTTGTCAATGTTTGCTTTTATAATATTAATGAGAATCTATTAAACCACCCCATAGTCAGAGATTAGCAACTGCAGAAATGACAGCAGGAGACAGAACAAGAACACACTCAGTGCAACCAACTGGCCTGAGAAGGAACTGAATTTTAATTTTTTCCATGCATGCAACTTTATGCTGTTCTGCACTCTCCAAGGTGAAAGTAGTCATTTAAAGCATACATGTCAATACTTAAGACTTTAAAAAGTAAAATGATTTGTTTTGAAATAAAAATAGAAACGTACAGATCCTGTCCTGATTTGCTAACTGCTTCGGAAAAAACTTCAACCTCCAAGTTGTGAAGCTTTGCGGATGCTGCCTCAGGGACCCAGTGACTGACAGCAATTCAGAGACGAGGGGCTCTTCAGCCAAAAAGGGGACATCAAAACACAGGACCTCAGGTCCTAGCCACCCTCTACTCCCTAGGTGGGGAAGAAGAAATCTGTTGCAGCCTCAGGCTCTGGAACAGGACAGTACATGTTCCACAAGCCAAACGGAGCTCCACTGGTGTCAGTGGACATGGACGGTGGAGGGTGCTGTCACACTTAGAGCAAGGACGAGGTTCAAAGCTTACTGCCGCTTCCTAGCAAATGATCTTGGATGAGGTTTCTCAGCCTGCTGTCCCTCTGTGAAGTGGGAAATGATTCTGTCTACCTCAGGGGACTCTAAGGAGGAATAACAGGTTATTACGCATGCTGAGCACAAGACCTGGCACACAAGTACTCAATAAACAGCATGCGCTTTTTATTAGGTGGAGGGTGGATGGCAATCCAGAGAAGGAACTGTGCCCAGGTGTGCTCTAGGGCTGAAGGTCACTAAGATGGTCTGAGACACTGGTTCTCAACCCTGGCTGGGCATCCGAATCAGAAAGGAAGCCTGTAAAATACCAGTGCCAGCCTCTTTATGCCTATTCAGTGGGCATCTGTCGAGGCAGGGCCCAGGCATTTTTTTAAAGCTCCCAGGAAGATTCTAATAAGTAGTCAGGGTTGAGATCCTGTGCTTGAAGCTAAAAGAGCTGGAGACAAATAATAATCGAACAATACACCTGCTAACAGTCCATCAAAGGAGGTCCCCAGCCCAAGAGTGAGACCATCTTGGTTTTAGAATTAAAAGAAAAAACAGCCTTAAAATTGTAAACTTACCTATTTGCTAATCCTGAATATCACATGCTAACAAAACACATCATAATTATAAAATTCTCAGAAAGCAAACCACTCTGGAAAAGTCATAACAAAGCTCAAGTGTTTATTAAGAATTAAAAATACTGTAAATAAGCCATACAGTTCATTTCACAGTAAACTAAACAAAACCTTTTTTTTCTTTTACTTTTTGGGGTTTTTTTCTTTTTTTCAATTTTTTTTTTTGGAAGGGCAAGAGAGCCATTAAAGAACGATACAGCTCAAAGGGAAGGGAGATACAGCAAACAATTACAGAAACGCAGTACACACGCTCCTCACCAACAGACGGGGCTGTCCAGACAGCAAACCTCTTCATGGACATGTTAAAATAAAGGGACTTGGCCTACATTCCCCAGGGAGACACCCCATTCCACTGTGGACAGCTCTCCTAACGCATTTGTTGAAAGAACCCAATGACACCCCTTTCTGGGATTTTAAACCTGTGCATTCCTTGGTAACCTCCGGAGAGAGAACACAGGCTGGCCAGCGGGGACAGAGGGCGCCAGGACTCTGCTGGGTACAGTGCTTCACATTCAGAACCGTCTGGATGCTTTGCATAGTTACCTCTGATATCCCAAGATGCCTCAGGAACAGAAACGACAGGCACACCATGGGAGGGAGGCGGCCCTCAAGCGGCGGATTCCTTTCAAAGAAAGACCCAGGGGATTCTCCCTTCCTCATTCCAAGCTGACAGCTATGAGCTTTAACTGGTTCAAAGTGGAAGACATGTGAGAGATATCTCATAAAAATCTCGGCCAGAAGTACAAAAAATAAAAAGTAAAATTAATTTTTCTTAGAGACAACTAGAAAGTAAAGTGTCCCCCAACCCATTTTTTTTCTAACTTGAAATCTGCCAGCCAGACAAGATTTTTGAGGTTAATCTGCTTCTGTTAATCCTCAATTGAAGCCGTTATCATTTTTCTCTGACTAGAGACATCCCTGAAAAGCCACCTGTTATTCACAGGGGCTGCGCTTCAGGAAACCAACCAAACACAGAAGCAAAGAACTTAAGAAACCAACAATTTGGTAAACATTGTAAATAAATTATCTGGGCAGGAAAATACCATGCCTCGGTGTTCAGGTAGTGACAACTGCTCTTTAAGAGGGCACAAAAAATTGGGAGGTGGGGGACACATGGGAGAAAACCACACATTTTTTTGGTCATGAGAAGTCGGACTTTAAATCCACACCCTGCACACGCAACTCATTTAGACCTTTTCGTGAATCTTCTCCACTTTCACAAACAACCTATCCAGATCATTCCTCAGGTCATCTAGCAAACCCTTGGCTGATTCCAGGTTGTTCTCGTTGGTTTCTATTTTGACCGAGTATGCAACCAAACTGTCCACGGCAGTCCTGAGCATTTTCAAGTCTGCCTCCACTTGGCTGACTGAGGCTTTCAGGTTGTCTAGAGAAGAAAGTCTGTCCAGGAAGTCCTGAGGAGGCTGACGGGCAGCCTGGGCTTGGTCCTGACTGAGCAGCGTGTGCACCTGCTCCCGCACCTTCTGGAGCGATTCCACGGTGCTGGGGAGCTCGCCCACACTCCTCTTCAGCTCCTCCACGTCACTGTAGAGCACCAGCTGCGCCTCGCCCAGGCTCCTCACTGTGCTGGCCAGGCCATCCTGGTCTGCCTCCGAGGACCCCAGGCCTTCCAGGTGCCCCTGCAGGGCGGCCAGGCGCTGCTCATGCTCCTGGCTCTTAGACAGGAGGGACTCCAGGCTCTCAGTCTGGCGCGCAGAAGCTGCCTGCACGGAGAGCACCCCATCCTCCACGTGCTGGAGCCTGGAGTCCAGTCCCTGACTCTTTTGCTGGAGTGCCTCAAATGCTTCAGAGTGTCTGAAGCCTCCATCCTCCTTCGGTCTATAGGAGTCGGCCTTCAGCTGGTGGAGCTCTTCCTCCAGTCTGCGGATCTCCTCCGGGAGGCGGGAGACGGACTCTTCGGACCTGAGAAGCTTCTCCGTGAGGGCCTGCAGGGCAAGCCGCTCCGTGTCGGCTGCCTCCTTGAAAGCCTGCTGCTCCTGCTTGAGGCTCACCAGCTCGCGGACCTCCGTGTAGACGTCAGACTCCATAGTCTGCAGGGAGTTTCTCAGGGCCTGCATTTCCCACTCTCTGGACTTGGCTGAGGTCTGTATCTCCTTCACAGCTTCCTTCAAGGCTTTCAAATCCTGCTTGTGCCCCTCAGATTCTTCCAGGGAGGCGACCTTTGCCTTCACATCGTTGATCTCCTTCTGGCTTCTCTTCTGGACTTCCGTGAAGATGGCGATATTGTCATTGATGGATTTGGTGAGCTCCGTCAGCCGCTCTTCCACTGTGTTCTCCAGGGACGTGAAGTCCCGCTCCCGGGCGTCCTTCACCACGTGGATCCCATCCGAGAGGTCTTTGAGTATCTCATTCTGGAGTTTCTGTAGCACCTCACTGATCCGGCTGACCTCACTCTCTCCTTGCTTTACAGCTTTCTCTGTGAGGTCTTGTTTATGCTGGGAGCTTCTCAAGATGGACTCAAAAGTTCCAAATGTGGCTTGCAAAGACTGCACCTGTAATCAAAATCCAGATGTTAACTGCTGACAAGAGCTGAGTTTCATATGGTACAACTTTTTTTGTCTGCCCAGACTCCAGATCCTGTTTTTTTCCATAATGGCACGATTTTCCTTCAGAGAAACATCCTTCCACACATAGTCCATATGGTTTTGAGGACCAACCCTAGGTCCCCTCCTAGTGCTCCAGGGATGATTTATAACCCAGGCCTGACTAATTGGCTCTTTCCACCCTCCACCCCGGAGCCACTGTAATTAGCCCAGGGGTAGGCATGTGGCCTCACAAAATTCCAGGATTTCTGTTAAAACCACTGGGAAAGCAAGCCTCTTTTCCCACTGGGATTGCTGGGTATAGGATGAGGTAAGCCTGGAGTTGCTCAGAACAGCACAAGGGGCACTAATCTAACAAGCCAGCAGAGGGAAGCTGAACTGAGACATGGCAGGATCAAGTTCTGAGGACATCATGTGAATCCCTGGATACAGCTGTACCTCAAGGAATCTACTCTTGAACTTTCCAGTTTGAGCCAAACAACTCTCTCTCTTTAAGCCACTCTGGGCTGGGCTTCTGGCTCTTGCAATTTAAAGAGCCTCACAAGGGTCCAGGTCTCTGCTCACCACTTCTAACTACCTGGCTCTGAATAAGCCACTGTCCTCCCTGGATCTCAGAGTCCTTACCTGCAAAATGTGAGTGTGGACCAGATGATTCCTTAACATTCCCTAGCTTTGGGAAAGTACTATGATCTCATTTGCCATGATACATTCATTGTAAATCAATGCTACCCTAAATAAAGTCTGACCCAAGAACCACCCAGGAGAGCCAGTTCAATATACTGAGAAGCTGGACCGCACAAAGATTAATAACCTGGTAAGTTTTAGCCTGATGTGCCACATGGTGCCACCTTTAATGCTTTATTCCAAAAAAAAAAAGGGGGGGGGGGATGGGGAAAGACAGAAAACAAGAACCTGACTCTATCAAGTCCCTGGGTCTAAAACCGTCAATTCACAGAAAAATGCAGGAGAGACAGATATCATGAGGATGCAACCAGCCAATCCCACAATGTAGAAAATTCTACAGGACAAAGAACCAGCATCTTCAACAACCAAGTGGCACTTAAAAAGAAGGAAAGATAGGAAACTTACAAACAAAATTTAAGAGATTTTTTTTGATCAAATATAATGTATGGCTCATATAGAGATCCCAATTTGAATAAACCAACTGTTAACAAGATATCTTTGAGCCAGGCCTGGTGGTGTCCACCTGTAATCCCAGCTACTTGGGAGGCTCAGATGAGAGGTTCCCTTGAGCCCAGGAATTCAAGTTCAGCCTGGGCAACAGAGTGAGGTTCTGTCTCTAAAGCAACAAAAAATTTTAAAATAAATTAATTTTTTAAAGACTTTTAAAATAATCAAGGAAATGTGATTACAGAATGGGTGCCAGATGATGTTCAAAAATTACTGTACACCTTGTTAGGTATGATATGCTGTGTTTTATTAAAAGAAACAGGGAAAGGAGTAGAAAGGAAAGGAAAGGAACCCTTATCAGTTAGAAATAAATCATAAAATGCTTTGGGTAAATTTAGTATGCCAGCCAGGGATTCATTTTAAAACTAATTCCTAATTCCCTATCCCCTGGATCTGTCGGGACAACACAGGCTCTTCAGAGGCTCTAGAGCTGAACTGCCAACATTTCCTGAAGCCCTGGACCCATTTCTGCCTGGTAAATCATCTGGCTTCAGGACAGGACACTATGCCTGCACTATGGCCATTCAACACCAATGGTAGGGAGACCAGGTGAGGCACCCATAGGGCAAGAGAGTGGTTCAGAGTCAACTTCTAACTTTAGCCAAAAAAAAATGGCCGAGTGGAGGGAGGGGTGCTGATGGAATGAAACAAGAATGGCAAAAGATCAGTAATTCTTGAAACTGGGGTACATTATATTGTTCTTTGTTCACACTTTAACACTGCTATGATAAGAAGTCAAAAAAGAAAAGAGCACAGACTCTGGAGCCAGACTGCCTAGGTTCAAATCCTAGCTTCGATGCTTCCCAGCAGTGTGATCTTGGGGAAGTTATTTAGCCTATCTGTTCCTTGGTTTCCTCAGCTGAAGGATGGGAAAACAGTACCTGACTCATACGATCGTCTGTAGTAGGATTAAGTGAATTATTAATATATCAAGTACTTAAAATGTACCCAGCTTACAGTGAATGCGCAATACATGGCAGCCATCATCATTGTGATTATGTCCCATTTCTTCTGAAGTACCTGGTGAGTCTGCAGATTCCGAGCACCACCCTCAGCCCAATGCCAAACGGCAGGAGGATAAACTGAAATGGGATGTGACAGTACATCTAGGCTCTCACCCCAGCCCTACCAGTAACCAGGTCTGTAAGCACGACGAGTCACACTCACTTTCCAAGTCCTGGCTCCTCATCTAGCAGCAAATAGGTCTCTAAAGTCCGGTCTAGCTCCATCCGTCTGTTTTAAGACAGCTTAGAATAAGGTTCTCAGGGGCTCCAGAATACTAGACAAATTCCCTGCCCAACCAAATGCAACCTGAGTCCTAAAGGACACTCTGTGAAGGTACTAAAGAGAGCCCATCTCTGAAACTAGGTTATTAAATCACAGTGTCTGCCTGTTCTAAGCATAGCACTCAGAACAGAGGTGTGAGCAAGTGACCACGGTACCTTCAACATGGCAGGCTTTCATCCAGTGTTTTCTGAAGGAATCACAGAATGAAAGGATTCAAGCAAAGCTTGATGAGCTGGTCCATGTCTCCTCTGATCCCTGTCAACCTTGACCTGGGCTGGCTCTTCATAAATGGTTAGGAAGGAGACTGGAACAGAAATTATACCCAATACCATAAAAAGAACACGGTTTTCCCCCTACGGAACGTGCTAAGAGTTGTATATCATAATGTTTAAGATAAACTTGAGAGATTTTTCAGTCAAAGATAATGTGTGGATCTTAGAGAGACCCTGATTCTATAACTCATTATAATAACTCATTATCATCAATATGCATTGGAAATATCTGTTCCCCCAACATATGTGGGATGCCCACTAAGTGGCAGACACCAGGCAAGATGCCAGAGATGAAATAATGGCTAGGATCCTTGCCCTCAAGGAGGTTACAGCCTAGGGTGAGAGGGTTGGGTGTTAGCAGTGGTTGACATTCAACGGGACACTTGCGGTGTCCGATAACTGTATGAAGGACTTGAGACACATAATCTCATTACACCCTCATCATCATGAGTTGGTGGCTCCCAACGATCTCCATTTTACAAATGAGGAACCTGGCAAGTGGTAGGCTCAAACATCAAAATCCCAAAATGCTTGATTTCAGAACCTGAGCTCTTAACTACTATGTGATATGCCCAGGCAGGGGCACTGACTTCAGAGTGCACTGAATGGCTGGAAGAGAGGCTGCCAACTCCTGAAACCCTGATTCCTTATGCAGAGAACCTAGACGAGAAAAACAAAGAAATATGATCGGGGAACTTACTCTTCCACAAGTAAGTCCGAGTCTCATTAAACTGTCTCCACCAGGCCTAAGCCTTACTCCTACCATTGCTTTATATCCTGCTGGATCTACCAGGGCAACACAGGCTCTTCAGAAGGCCTACAGCTGAACTGCCGACACTTTCTGAAGCCCGGGACCCACTTGTGCCTGCTGAACCCTCTGAGTAAGGCTAGGCCAGCCTCTCTGCCTGTGCTACAGTCATTCAGAAGATCTGAGCCATTCTCCAACAATAAGGACATCTGGAGAACAAGACATAGGTGTGCACCCAACTCCAGCTACACCACTTATGGTCTGTGTGTGACCTTGAACGAGTGACATAGCCAGTCCTCAGCTGCCTCACCTGCAAAATGGTGCTACTAAATGGTACCCACCTCAGAGGGTGGCTGGGAGAGCAGATATCATGACTAAAAAGCATTTAATAGCATGCCTGGCCTCACAGTGAATACCAATTATGAATAATACTATAAGTACACTTCCCTGCTAAGAACCAAACTCCACCCCCACCAAGTCAAAAAGAATTATAAAGGGGTTCAAACTTAGGCTGTGAGAGAACCAATCACTCAGTGCAAAATAACTTATTTACTGGCCACCCCAAAGATGCAGACAGAGTGACCACATTCTGTGGCAAATCCTACCACTGTTTTGGCCATGTTCTGGGTCTCAAGTCAATGGAATGTTTACTGAGCACCTACTATGTACTAGGCTAAACAGTGGAGTGGTTAAGAGTGTCCTAGGAGTTAGACAACAGTTTGGATCCTAGCCCAGCCACTTATTAGCTGTATAACCACTCGGTTACTTAGCCTCTCACTTTTCTCATCTGCAACAGAGGGCTGATAATACTACTTACCGCTTGGGGTTGTTGTGAGAGTCAGAAGATGATGCATTTCAAACGCTTTGCATAGTGCCTGGCACATAAGTGCATCATAAATATGAGAAATTAAATTACAGTTTTATTACACTACTAAATTAAAAGAAAAGTGGTCAGCCGGGTGCCGTGGCTCCTATCTGTAATCCCAGCACTTTGAGAGGCCGAGACAGGAGGATCGCTTGAGCCCAGGAATTTGAGACCAGCCTGGGCAACACAGCAAGACCCTGTCTCTACCAAAAATTTTAACAATAAATAGTTGGGGACATGCTGGTGCACACCTGTCGTCCCAGCTATTTGTGAGGCTGAGGCAAGAGGAATACTTGAGGCCAGAAGTTCAAGGCTGCAGTGAGCTATGATCACACCACTGCACTTCAGTCTGGTGACAGAGCAAGACCCTATCTCTACAAAAAATATGAAATTTAAAAAAAAAAAAGAGAGAGAAGTGGTCACTATTACAATGATTTTAGAGCCACGAGGATTCTTAAAAGTCTGGATGGAGCTCTCTTCTTATTGTGTGGATGGGAAAACTGAGCCCGAAAGAAGAAAGTGATCTATACACATAGCTGTGATGGAGGAGTGAGAACCAGAAAGAAGGGAGGGGCAGGGAAAAGCAGAGAAATTAACCTGGATTCCCTATTTTGGCCTCAACTTCCAACCTCCCTTCTCTCACAATTTCCTAAATGTGATTCTGCCATGAGTAGAGTGGCCACCTCCTCTCCCTCACACATGCTCAAAATAGTGCCCCTGCCAGGATGTTCATCACATTCCTTCTCTGAACATTTATCGATCACCAACTAGATGGCTGGCACTACCCTAGCCACCAGGATACAGGCGAAATTCCACACCCTCGCTCTTACTAAACTTTCACTGGAGTTAACCTCAACTGACACCTCCTTATGCGCTGCACAAATGATTAGAGTCTTTGCTCCTTCATACGCTCCCACAAAGCCTACACAGAGCCATGCAACCATCAGACTTTAATAAATATTATGACTGATTAGTAAGTAGGTGGATGAAAGTGAAGAAATAGAGGCTAGTGATTACACTCCAGCAGTATGTCTATTTTTTAAGAATGGTTTGACATTCAGATAGGCAAAGCAGCACTGCCTACTTAATTCCCTTAGAAAAGTCACCTCCCTTGGCCTGCAGCATTTAGCAGGCTCTGACTCATTCCAGTTGCTCTACCACTTTTTTATTTTTATTTTTATTTTTCGGAGACGGAGTCTTGCTCTGTCGCCCACGCTGGAGGGCAGCGGTGCAATCTCCACTCACTGCAACCTCCACCTCCCAGGTTCAAGCAATTCTCCTGCCTCCACCTCCTGAGTAGCTGGGACTACAGGCATAGGCCACCACACCTGGCTAATTTCCGTATTTTTAGTAGAGACGGGGTTTCACCATGTTGGCCAGCTGGTCGCAAACTCCTGACCTCAGATAATCCGCCCACCTCGGCCTCCCAAACTGCTGAGATTACAGGCATGAGCCACCACACCCAGCATGCTCTGCCAGTTTTAAGAGGAAATTCCTAGTCCTGCACACTCAACAAAAGTAGAAACTTGGCAGGACAGACAGTATGCTGGGAAAAGGAGGCACAGGCTCGGGAATCAGAAGTGGCGGGATTTTTTGTTTCAGTCTCGCATGCAACTTTCATTGAGCAATGACATCATGGAGGGTGAATGAGATCAAAGCGGCCATACTTGGTCTGGAAAAAACCACAGAAGGGTGGAAGCTAAGGACCTTTGCCTTGGGAGTTGGGTCCATCCATACCTGAAATGGACCCTGAAGGAACAGTGGCCTAGACATTCTCATGTGTCTGCCACTCACTAGCTGGGAACTTTGTCAACTCACTCCTCTCTCTAAACCTCAATATTCTGGTCTGGAAAATGCAATCAAAACCGTTAGCCTTACCTCCCTCCCAGGATGGCTATAAGAATTAGATACTATGTGAGTAAGCACTCTAAACATCATACAAATGTGGCTATCAGTATTATTCACCAGTATGATCTAGCATTTTTGGCCTTTCCCTTCCCCTAAAGCTGAAGTAGGGCTGGGCTCTGTGGCTCACGTCTGTAATCCCAGCACGTTGGAAGGCCCAGGCAGCGGATCACTTGAGCTAAGGAGTTCGAGACCAACCTGGCCAACATGGTGAAACCTCGTCTCTACTAATAATTTAAAAAATTAGCCGAGCGTGGTGGCGCATCCCTGTAATCCCAGCTACTCGGGAGGCTGAGGCAGGAGAATCGCTGGACCCCGGGAGGCAGAGGTTGCAGCGTGCCAAGATCGAGCCACTGCACTCCAGCCCGGGCACAGAGCGAGACTCCCTCTCAAAAAAAAAAAAAAAAAAAAAAAAAAAAAGCTATAGTAGGACTACTTCAAAGTCCCACCTGGGCAGGCCAGTCCAATACAGGACAAGGAACCTAAAGATAGAATTTCATTTGAACCTGCAAATGCGTAAGAATGCCAGCTCCAAGTCTATTAAAAACCCGCTCAGATGTCTCCCACTGGAAGAGCTGAGGTGGGGCCTTGCCTGAGGCTTCCAGGGATGCGCTGGCTTCCCTTCCAACCTCCTTTTCAGACAACTCTGCCCATTCAGCGGTTCCTAATCCAAAAAGAATGGGCTCCCCGAAGCCTGCCGGCTTCCTTACAGGTCACCGCTAATGCCCTGTGACAGGCCCTTGGCCCACCCTGCCAGGCCGGCCTGGCCATCCTCGCAGCGGCCCATCCCTCGGGGCCGATTCCTCCGCAGCCATTAACAAAGGGGATCTGGGGACTGCCTCGGAATGAGGGGGCCGGATAAAGGGGGGTGTCCAGGCCAGGACCCGCCAAGCAGGGGCGGCCGGCTCCTGCCTCGGGGCCTGGACAGGCAGGAATAGGAACGGGCCGGAGAGCACAAGGGGGCCCGGCCGTGGGTCCGGAGGCCGCAGTCGGCGGGGACAGTTGGGGAGGTCGGGGGTACCCACCTTCTGTTCGACGCCCTGCAAGCCCTGGCCCAGCTCCTCCCTCTGCCGGGAGAAGTCCTGGTGGCTGCGCCGGACCTGCTGGACCTCCTCCAGGACGTGGTGGACGCACCAGCCCGAGAAGGTGGCCGCCGCCACCAGGGCGAGGTAGAAGAGAAAGTTGAGCGCCCTGCCGAGCCTGCGCGAACAGGACGCCGAGGACGAGGCGGCGGCAGCGGCGGCGGAGGACTTTCCGCCGCCGCCGCCGCCGCGGTGGCTGCCCTTGCCGTGCGCCTGGTTCTGCGGGTGCTGCTGCGGATGCGGCGCGGGAGGCGGCGGCTGCTGCTGCTGCGGCGCCGGCGGCGGCTTCTTCGCCACGTCATCCGCGCCGCCCGACGGGTGGGCGCCCTTCTCCGAGGGGCTCGCGGCGCCGTGGCCGCCCTTGGAGCCCCTTTGTTTGGCCGAGGGCATGGCGGGCGCGGCGGCGGCTCGGGCCGCGGGCTGGGAAGCTAGCGAGCGCAGCGCGCGGCCCGGGAAACTTGCTGGAGCTCCCCCGGGACTGGGCGAGCGGCACGCGGGCGCTGCTGGCGTCGGAGCGGCCGAGAGGACGCGCGGCCGGGAAGGAGGCCGGGCCGACGAGGAGGGAGGAGGGGGCCTGCCTCCGCCGCGGCGCCGACCCCGCCTCCCGGGAAGGGAGGCCGAGCGAGCCGCGCCGGGAAAGTCTGCCACGCACGCCGGCCCGGCGGCCCCTCCTCCCGCCGCCACGACCCCGGAGAGGGAGGCCCGGGCGGGGTCTACGGGGGCCGGGAAGCCGGCGCGGGGGCGGTCGGGCGCGGGGCGGGGGCCCAGGGGGGCCTACGGAGGCCGCGGCGGGCGCCGATGTGGCCGCGAGGGGAGGTGAGGGGAGGCGAGGGGAGGCGAGGGGAGGCGGCCTAGGAGGGACTGGCGGCCGGGCGGGTTCCTTGGAGGCCGGGGGCGGAGGGCCGAGTCGACCCGAGCCGGGGCGGGCGGCCGAGCAGGGTCGATGGGGGCCGACATTGAGCGGCCAGGCGGGATCTGAGGGACGGAAGCCGGGGTGACCCTACGCCGCGGGCCAAGCGCGACTCCCTCCCTTCTCGACCTGTGCGGAGAGGAAAGAAATGAAGGCTGGCGCCCAAGGAGCCCTGGCCCCGGGAGTAGGAGTCGGGGTGGAAACGGATCCCCCTTCCTTTCCGCTGGGAATTGGGGGAATTCCCCCCGCTTTCACCCTCCCAGCCCGCCACGGGGTTGGGCTTTGTCCCTTGTCTTGGGTTTGAAGTCGGAGGCACAAAGGGCTGTCCACAAACCAGCCAGCTTCGGAGGCATACATTTGATGCGAGTTAGCAAAGATTCTCGACTGTGGTGAGTCTGTTCAAGGGTACGCTTTCACTGAGCGTCCCCATTAGCCAAGTTAGCCTGCTCTGGACAGCTCTTTACTTGTTACCCCCCGAAGGCCCTTCGGCTCTGTGTTCTCTTTGGGGGTCATGAAGTTTGTTCACGGCCCCTGCTCAGGACAGGCTCTGGGATGGGTGCTGGGGAGCCAGCAGCAGCCGCGCGGAAAGGGGCAGATCAGGCTTGTCACTCCTACTTTTGTAAAAGGAAATTTAGTATTGCCAGGTGTCCTGGGCTGTGTGCTTAGCGACTCACATATGTTCTGAAGCCCTCACAAAAGCCCTGTGAGGTAGAAATTATTTTATCTCTTTTGTAGGAAGGAAATTAAGGCTGAGCCAGCCGGCTTCGGATTGGCCCAAGGTCACGTACAGCCATCACTCGAACCTCTCTCAGTCTGCTTCTTTCCGGAGTCTGTGCCGCTTAATCAAGTCAGAATGGGAAGGAAACTGGGCCCAGGGAAGTTAAGCAACTTGCCCACTCACTCTGGCTACTTGGTGTTGGGGCAGGGACAGTACTCACTCAATTCCACTGTTTTCCCCAGTTCCTGGTGAGTGGTGTGTGCCTGGCACTGTGTGTACTTGGCACTGTGTGTGGTGGAAATGCTGTTTCTTTTGTCTGTAACCTCCTCCCAATTCTGTTAACAAAAACAAAAACCATGCCCTGTTCTTAAAGCCTGTAGGGTTCAAATGGCCACCTCTTTGATGATACTTTCCCTGTGACAGCACTTGATACCTCTCATGGGACTTAGCAAGTAATTGTAATACGAGGCATATATGTTGTTAGTTCAATATAGCAAACCTTTGTTGAGGGCCCACTATGTGCCACGTATATCTGTAAGCTACTCTCTCTTCCTTGAGGACTGGAAGCCACCATATTTCTCTTTTCTTTCTCACTTTATGAGGTGCTGCTAAAAGCCTCTAGTGAATGAATGAACACTTGTATGTCTGCCATCTAGGAGTCTGCATTACACTTGGAGAAATAGACCGAAACCTGTTAAGGGCTAATTTAGGTAAATTGAGAATATAAATGTAAGGCGATTTGGAAGGCAAACCCGTGGGCGGTACATGGGCAGTCTTTGGGGGCAGAAAGACCTTGAGCAATGCCTTGAAGAATGATTTGCATATGGCAAGAGCAGGGAGGATATTTCTGTGGCGGAAATGGGGTGAGCCCCGGACACCTGTTGGACTTGAGGATATGTTCTACGTGTAAAGAAGGAAGAAACGAACTGCGTGGAGATTGTAGAAGGCTGTAGAAGCCAAGCTGGCAGACAGAAAAGTCACTATTAGTGTGGGAGGCCAAAGTAAATGATAGGAATTTCTGGGCTGGTGATAACCATCTGCCCCAGACAGAGAGGAACATCCCCACTTCAGCTAAATACCAGGAGCCATTGTAGGAGCCTGGTATTTAGGGGTGGGAAGATGGCAGAGGAAATCAGAAGACTCACTCATCACAAGAACCTTGTTTATAAACTATTCAGCTAAGTTCGGGTTGTGTTGTTAAAATATCTAGTGCACAAAAAGTGGTCATCCCCCTTCAAGCAGTTCTCCATGTTAGGGGCAGAGGCATTGGTGCTTCAGTTTGTAAAGCACCTTGCTGCCTAGATCTGGCCTTGGAGGCAAAAGCTTTACTCCTTTAGTGCTATCACTAAAGAGTGTGACCTTGAGAATTATCCCAAACCTCCTCTCTAGATTTCAGGGTCACCATTTCTGTAAGGTGCATCTTTAAGGATATTTCTTATTATTAATCTGTTTCTTAGAGAAATAGGCATCTGATTATTGTCAAAAATAATTCAATGATATTTAAATTTTTAAAAATTGATCCAGGCTAAGTACAGTGGTTCATGCCTGTAATCCCAGCACTTTGGGAGGCCAAGGCAGGAAGATCACTTGAGGCCAGGAATTCAAGGCCAGCCTGGATAATAGCAAGACCCCAACTCCACCAAAAATCAAAATCAAAGTTAGCTGGATATGATGGCACTCAGGAGGCTGAGATGGGAGGATCGCTTGAGCCCGGGAGTTCAAGGTTACAGTGAGCTATGATGGCACCACTGTATTCTGACCTGGGCAACAGACCAAGACCCCATCTCAGAAAAAGCAAAGAGAAGAAAGAAAAGAAAAGAAAACCACCCAGACTGTAGGCCAGATATGAGAAGGGAAGGTTTCTCAATTTTTGCCTCTACTGAGCACTGAATAAATAGGGGGTAGGAGGAGGGGACTGTTCATATTTTCAGCATTTCCCTCTCATTCTTTTCCTCTGGGAGATAGTGCATATAATGGTTAAGACATAGGCTGTAGAATAGACTGACTTGGGTTCAAATTCAGCTTCATGACTGCCTTTGGAGTGTGACCTCTCTGAACTTCAGTATCTTCAGCTATAAGACAAGAGTGATAGCTACCTCACTGGGTCAGGTGTGGTGGCTCACACCTATAATTTCTAGACTTGGGGAGGCCAAGGCTGGTGGATTCCCTAAGCCCAGGAGATCAAAACCAGCCTTGGCAACATGGCGAAACCCTGTCCCTACAAAAAATTTTTAAAAAAATTATCCAGGCCTGGTGGAGCATGACTGTAGTCCCAGCTACTTGGGGAGCTGAGGCGAGAGGATCACTTGGGCCCAGAAAGTCAAGGCTGCAGTGATTCCTGTTCACCGTTGCACTCCAGCACAGGTGACAGAGAAAGACTTTGTCTCAAAAACAAACAAACTGCCTCACTGTTATTAGGATTAGACGGGAGACATCACATGATGCTGGGCATATGGCAATACTCAGTGAATATTGGACAGCTAATATAATTTGCAGAGCCACTATATAGCTTCACAGAACTTCTATGTCCAGATTTCAATGATTTTCTTTCATCATTATTTCTTGGGACTCCCAGGACCATATGTGGCTTACAAACCACAGGCTAGGATGTGCTTAATGTTAAAAGCAGGCAGTGTGTTTCTCTGAAGTGTGGCTCCACCATGGTGCTCAGTTACACCCAGAGGAGGAGGCTGGTGGGCAGTCATGGAAGCCCATCTTCCAGGGCAAGAAGGGACCAGGGGCTCTTGGAGACTTCCATTCTCCTACTCCAGTTTCTGAACAGAGCAGGCATCTAGGGGGGGTTTCTCTTCTTTTTTTCTCCTCGTTTCGCCTGCTCTATCCCTTTTCCTTGCTAAAGTGTGTTGGATGGTCAGGAATGTGGGTGGAGAAGAGCAGGGAGCTGGAGACATCTCTTCCTTTTATCCAGCTTATGTAAAAATGCCTCTGAACTTCCTTGCACCACATGGACCATAAAATATAAGGTTGAGCTTTGCAAGCCTGCAACCCTCTTGGCTTTCTGCATGTTGGTTAGAATGCCTAAATAGAAAGCCCCATTAATGTTGATTGCCTCTTCTGTGTTCCAGGTTGGCAAGGCCTCCAGTGGCCAAGGAACGAGTCTGGATGCCCTGCAAACAGTATGTGTTAGGGATGGGGGCATTCTTTTTAGTTTGGCTCTGAAGTGCTAGGACCACCTTTCCCAGCCTCAGGGGCGCACATCCTCAGGAGCTGCCTACCCCCAGATGTTGTACCTCCATGTAGAAGAGGAAGGGCCCAGCTGGGCACCTCTTGATTGAGGAATGGGTATGTGACATTGTCATGTGGGCACATTTTGATACTACTTTAAAAATAGGCCAAGCATAGTGACTCATGCCTGTAATTCTAGCACTTTGGGAGGCCGAGAGGGGCAGATCACCTGAGGTCAGGAGTTCAAAATCAGTATGGCCAACATGGAGAAACCCCACCTCTACTAATAATACAAAAATTAGCTGGGTGTGGTAGCAAACACCTGTAATTCCAGCTACTCAGAAGGCTGAGGCAGGAGAGTCACTTGAATCTGGGAGGCAGAGGTTGCAGTGAGCCGAGATCACACCACAGCACTCCAACCTGGGTGACAGAGTAAGACTGTCTCAATCAATCAATCAGTAAATGAATACATAAACACCTTTCTGCTTGTTTTTGCAGTCCTAAGATATGTGCTCAGTAGCATCCCTGGCCTTCTAATGTGAACTTGAGGTATGGGTAAGACCCAGAGATGGCATGGGGGACAGGAGGTACGGAAGGCCTACCATTCATATTACTCGTGAACCTAAAATGGTTTTACATTTTGATGCCACTTCATTAAATTGACTGTGTGATATGAGCTGACTTTACACCCTCCTTTAAATTCTGTCTGACAGAATAATCAGTTGATAATGCTCATGAAAATATTTTGTAAACTACAAGGTGCTAAACAATTGTTTGCTTATATCCCTCTCTGTGGGATACAATTGTTTGTTTATATCACCTCTGTTTGGTGCTATGCACAAAGCTGTGAAGTCCCAACAAGAATGGTGGTGACTACAATGAGCACAAAATAAAGTCTTTT